CCCCAAAACCCCAAAACCCCAAAACCCCAAAACCCCATGCTCATTTAATTTTTGAGCATTATAAGCATTCAAAAATAGAAATAATTGTTAGTCTTGTAATTTGGTATAAAAAGTTACATTTACAGAGTATATTTATTTATAAATGGATTATTTCAATGGGTATAGAGAGTTAGCTACTTCATGTCCTGCTACTACTTACCCAATAATATTGGGTGGAACAAATGCAAATACTGCTTTTACTGATTTAGACACAGATCCTTCAGGCAATATTGGAATTGGAGGGTACACCTATGATAGCGGATTACTTGGGATACCATAGAACAATATGTAGCCTATTATAGCAATGATCAGTCCAGGAAGCACATATTTATGGTCAAAGACTATAAATTTAGTTGGATATATGGTATTATCCTTATAGTTCTATTATACTTATGCTCAGATTGGTGTTTTGCTTAGTAATCCATGATTGACTTACATAGCCTTTAATGCTGCTGATGGTATGCTACTTTAATATAGTTTTATAACTTCTACTGCAATCATAGTCCCTTCTTTTGCGAGAATAATCTATCCTAGATTAGCTAACAAATGTGCCTGGATAAATATGTAGACAAGTAATGGATATTATATGCTATTATCTTTTCAACCTGGAACAGTAAATGCAGACTCCTCTTATTACAATGGAATTTAAGGTGTAGCAATAAGTGGAGATACTAGTTCAGATGGTAACTTTGCCTACTTTGGAGGATACCTAACATATAACTCGATTGAATAAGTACATATTTAAAGAATTGATTATACAAGCACCTTTTTTGGTTCAATAAAATTAGCCATTTAAGCTAATTAAGTCTTTGCAAGAATATAGTAGTTAGATGTTCTTAGTGCTTCATCTTATATTGATTGGATTTACGCTAGTTATTATGTTTAACTATCGACAAGTACAGTAGAATCTTATAAAATATTGGTTTTAGAGTTCAATTCCGGAACTGTTACTCTCGCTTCTGATTATAGTATAAATTTACCTTCTGAAGTAGTGGAAACAACTTAAATTCGAGGAATCAATTCACAATCTTTAGAGCTACTATACCAAGATGCTTCTTGGTTGGGATTAAAACTAATGAGTATAAATTTTCAAACATTAGTCTGTACAGTATAAACCATTACTATCTTCGCATCAAATACAAACATGATCTATAGTTCAAAATACTTAACAACATAAGGAGGCTATCATTTTGTAGGTGGTTTCTATGATTTTGGAGGTGGACCTACTGGTGTTGCTGATTAAACTTTTAATCAGTAGATAGGTGCTATTCTCCCATTTCTTTCTAGCCATAGATGCTTAGGAAGTTAAGAGTAGACTGAAGTTATTGCACCAACAATCACTATAGATTTAAATCTTGCTTCAATTCAAGGCATGACTTATACAACAAGCTCATATTAATTTTCTTACAGTACATTAACTTTAAGCACAATAGCCTCAAATACAGTCAGTTTAACTACTTGTGGAGCATTAAATGCTTATACTTTTAGCCCAAAAACAACTCAAACAGGAATATATATGATTGGATCTTCATAAACTTTTACGATGGCTCTATATACCATAGATTGCAATCTAGCAACACTCACATAGCAAATAAGTTTCGATGCTTAATTATCTGATTCAGTCTTTGCAACTTCAACAGTTTATACCATTGATAATATCAACTCACAAATCATCTTAAATACTGCTGATGCTATCTATGATGGTTATACTATTGTTTTTAAACTATCAGCATCGGTTGAATAAACATGGTAGACCGCCTAATACAATTACGAAATTCTTTTTTAGCAGTATGCTTGTGATAAAGTTGCAATAACAACTTATACTGTACCTGATGTAACATATTTTTTAAGCTATGGTGATGGTTATATAATAGCAGATATCAATTGGCCATAAACCTAAGAAGCTTCATGCCCGTATTCATCTGAGATCGTTGTAACAAATATCCAAGATGGCCTAACATACTAAACTATAAGAAAAATTGACATTTCAAATCCTACTCATTTTCAAATTTAATCGCTTGGACTAACTTTAATTGGGAATTATCGAGTAGTAATAAATATATATGTTAGCAGCTTAAATGATTATACTACTAATAGCGGATTATAGAGCAGAAATCTTTACACTTCTTCATTTTATGTATAAGTCACAGAAGAATGCAAGGTCAATTAGATTTATGCTGTAGAGTAAGAATAGACAATAAATGTGAAATTAAAGGATACTTATAAGTATTAGCTCCCTCAATGGATTAATTAATACAGTATTTGTAACAACATAAATTACCTAGCTACACCATTGCCTCCTTTTATAACTTTCAATTCTATTACTAGAATATTTACAATAAACCCAAAATTAGATTCAGAGATTGGGACTCATTCTATTTTAATTCAAGCATGGGATCTTGATTCAGGAGGATATAGTGAGACATATTATATCTTCACTGTTGTACAGAGCTATTCAGATTTACCTTTTTACAGCTATTTAAACTTGAAGGATATAAAACTTCCAAACTAAATTCAAACTAAGATTTATCTATTCAAAAATCAGAATCTTGCTCTATAATTTTTCTAAAAATTTGAGTTGTCAATTAAGATAGGTGAGGCTACAGAATTTACATAATTTGAAAACTTTGTACTTAATTTTTATCCCACTGAAAAACATTAGCTGAAATCATATGAGATATAATACTCGGTGGCTAGTCTAATGGAAAAACAATCATATACTGGAACATTTAAAGTAGATGTGGGTATTTATATCCGTACAAATTAAACAGATAAATCAATTGAAAAAATCAATGGAGGATAGGAAGGAACAATTTTAAATTCAAAATTAAAACGAATTATCACAGCTAAAATTATTTCTATGAGCTTTAGAAGTGTAGCAACTATCAGATTTAATGATACATTAGCTCTAGACCATTAAATAAGCAATATTGATTTCCAAAAATTTTTGAAAATTGAAATTAGAGATGGATTAAGTGAATTGGTAGATTATCAATTCTAGAATGTTACAAATTTTTATGGTATTTCTTATGATGGTATAGATCTTAAATTGCAATTAGAATTCTCTTATCCTGAAAGTATTTCTCAATAATCTGTAATAATATTTGATTTTAACTAGATTTAACTTTTAGCTTTAAGACATCCTCGAGTTAACATTTATAAGAAATGATTTATTTGTAAATGTAATAAATGATGCAAGAATACCCCTCAATTATACAATCAAAAGATCTATTGGCTAGCAATATTATAACTCAAGTAACCTGAAATTATATATTAATTCTATCTAGCATCAATGATAATCTTAGATAAAGCAACAAGGACTAGTGTTAATACAATATTCTATGCTATTGCCATAAATCTATTTCTATAATTGGCATTTAGATTTTCAATGAAGATGCTCTGGCGTATGATGAATATCCTCTAATTGATAGTAAATTTACCTTTGATGGGATTTAATTTACCCTCAAATGTTATTTTGTGCTTTAAACAGCTAGTCGGAATAACTTCCCTTTAGTTTGTTGATAAAAGTACTGTTAAATCTCACTTTTTTTATTATGTGAGTGAAACTGATGAATTTCTTCGAGATAGTTTATAAGAAGCAGATATCTTTTGAAAATAGTTATGGGTATTTTTTAAGGTCCTATCAGATTAAATTACAAAAATAAGAGTATACTTGTCAATGTTGGCTATATATTTATTGGATTAATACTTTTAGTCTTATTAGGATTGTTAATGTTTCTCTTTAAAAAACTAAGTGATAAATATGAATTGTAAGAATAATGGATTTAATATTAAAGCGTGAAATAAATTTTGTTGAAATTGCATAGGAAAGTATTCTTTAGCTCAGTTATTAGATACTTTTCTTAGAGTTATTTAACTTTTAGTATCAGTGCTTGCATATCACTTTAATACGTAAAAATTCAGTGATAAAATTAATATTTAGCTTTCAAATGGATATGAAAGTGATGATTATGAAATGACTATATCAGGTTTGGTTCTTATTGTAATGTTCATGATGCCTTTTGCTACTTATGCTTTTCTATTAATAAATAAAGAAAGACTATTTGAAAGATCTTTTAAAAAGAGATTTGGGTCATTTTATCTAGGTATGAGAGAGAATTGTCCTCATTTGATTTTAAATGCTTCTATGTTTTACATGAAGCGATTAATTTTTGGACTCTCGGTTGTATTTTTATTAGATCTTGATATCATCTAAATTTTATTCAACCTTATAATTGCCCTTGGTACATTGGCAATTTAGATAAACTATATGCCTTTGGATACTAGATAAGGAAACAACTTCGAAATTTTCAATGAGCTTTAGTATTTCACGATCTTGTCACTTATATTGATTTTAGTGGGTGACATTATTACTGATATAGAAATACGCTATTCCTTAGGATGGGCAATTGTAATAATGGTGATAAACTTCATAATCCTTAACTGGGGTTATCTATTTGTACTAATGGGGATCTCAATAGTTAAGTACTCAAGAATTTACTATAGAAGATTCCTAATGATGAGAGCATTGAAAAGAAAGGTAAAAAAGTTGTTTAACTATCATGTTTAAAATTAACTTGAAAGCACATTAGTTCTTGAAAAATTATAGAAAAAATTAGAACAAATACCAGCAGTTGATATACAGGTGATGGAATTTTCATAATCAAAAATATTACATGATGCTGAATAAGTTGATGAAATAAACTTTACATAAGAGGAGGAAAATGATAGGAATGAGTAAGATATGATAACAAAGACTCCTAAAAAAACTAAATAAATAATTAGGAATGCACAAGGCCATGTAAATTATAAATTAAAATCACCATCGCCATCTTAATTATCAGTGAGCTAAAAAAATCTAGATAATAATGGAGCAATTGCAAGAAATCCCGCAAGCCCACAAAAAATACCTAGTTTAAAGTATAAAAAAGCTAAAAGCCATCGGATGAGTAACAAAAAGCTAGCAGGTCCAACAAAAAATTTCATGAAATAAGAATCATTACCAATATCTGATAGCCATTTCTCAATGCAGAATGGAATTTTTATATCTTAAAAACATCAGCCAAAGAGCAAATAGTTTGGCATTTCTCTCATTTAAAATCATTTGCAAAGAAATAACTACATAGATACTCTAGGCAGTGATGAAGAACTTACAGGCAGACATAATAAGGAGGAGGATAAAATGTCTTTTTAGCATTAATAGTCTTAATTTAGTAAGGCTAGTAACAGAAGTAATAATATCTCGCCAGGAATACTACACAGATAAACATAAATTCAAATATCCAGTCTGGTAAATCTTGCACCAGTTTTTAGAGAATCATAAGATAAAGATGAATAGAAAACAGATGAAAATAGACTAGATGAGCTGAAGAAGAGGCTTGCTAGGTACAACATTGAAAAACATTCCAAATAATGAGCACTCTATTAGTAGTAATCTAATCTTTGGAAGCCATGATGAATAAATTTAGTGGATGATTTAGTTTTTTCATGAACTAAAGTCTAAAGATATTTAGAAATTCAAAAGTGCAAGAACTCGATTTTAGTAAAATTGCTATTGTAATAATTATATTCCATCAGATTTTATTTGATATTTTCATTACTAATAATAAGATCATATCAAGATTCATGGGGTTTTGGGGTTTTGGGGTTTTGGGG